ACTCTACTCGAAAAACTCACTCTGAAATACTCGTTATTTAACGAATTCAAGTTTATTCTGCACGGCTCACAATTTAAAATGTCTGTCTGATCCGTTCAGACTTACGATTGTACTTAATTTCATGAGAATCGGCAGATTATAGTTGAAATCATCGTATTCTGTGTAAACGGGAACTCGAATGGAGAAATGTGGGGGTGTCATTTCAGGTTTATATTGCCCGGTATGATTTTGCAAAGTAGTGTGTCCATATCCGGGTATATTGATAAGACTTCATTGTTTCAGTGCATTGAAGCGTCAGAAGGCACTCATCGGTCGTTACAACTCAAACATAGGATTCATCCCCTCAACCCATCTGAATTTGCCGCTGATTCGTCCACTCTTGAAGGAACTTTGCTACTACTGTAGTTTCGGACCTAAAACGTGCGCAGCCACGCACGCACGCACGCGTGCCATCGCATCNCGCGCGCGAGCCGAAGACCATACGTAAGCCTTATTGTGGGATAGGCGTACCTAGTAGTACTATGTGCTGAGAAGTTATGTAGCTTTCGCAAGTGCGGGCGAGAATATTGAATGTGAGCAGAGGCGGGTTGGAGAGGAGACGGTAGAGATGCAGACAGTGCGGTGGATAGTATCACACAGACACCTAATCGTAAGCCTGAGCGCAGTGTAAATGAATGGTGGCTCAAATAGTAATATAGTTTTACAAAGTATTACCAGTGCAATCAGAGATGGTTCTTTGCGAAGTTTAACGTTTCGGCGTTATGCCTTCTTCAGGAACATGTTGAGTGATTCAACGACGTGAAGATGGCATAACACCGAAACGTTGAACTTCGTAAAGAACCATCTGTTATTGCGCTGGTAATACTTTGTCAATGAAACTATAATACTATTTGATCTACCTGTTACCACCATGCGCCTTATAAATGAGAAAAGTCTCCACGAATGGTGACTCTTTACGGAGCTTAATAAAAATTGATGCAAGGTGATCATAAGGGAAAATGAATCAGCATGGATGCATCAGTCTGCTTTGTGTGCTCACATTCAAAGCTGATAGATCTCCATTCGTGTAATATGCTTATTGCTCCATGAACGCGGAGTAGGCTGTTCGAAAAATAAGTGCATGCGTGAAGCCAGCACGCATTGCACTATGTGTGTTGTTCAGCATTCGTTTCTCAGTGCTTCAGTGCATATCCATTCTCAATGCGTGCGTGTGCACATAGCTTCGAAACTAAACTAGTGCCAAAGATTTATTATATCACCCCTGTCAAGATCACAGAGCGAATGATTTCGCAATTGCATTGCAATGAGTGTGTGAATATTGATTGATTTTGCATTATGTGCGGTGCGGCGCATTGATTATACGGTGTGCTCAGCCAGGGTAGAAATCTAGCAGAGTAGGCGGTCGATAAAGACCACCGTGAACGACGACACTATGCCGGGATGCGATAAACACGCAATCGAAACGCATCGCAGTCAGCAGCGTTTAACGAATGACAACCGATGAGGAGTTGTCGCTGATCAGAGAGCAATCGCTTTGTGATGAACATCAATCTTTCGCCGCTGCGATCGTTCGATGTCTGCATCTCTCGTGCTATACTTGGGAGGATGTTCTAGTGTAGGCGGCTTCGGGTCATTGGAGTCGGTGATGTGTATATTGTAGAATTTTTAGTGCAACACTGTACGTGAACCGTACTTTTAGAGAACGGTACAACAGTACACTTACACTCTCCTTCAAAATTTGTCCGTCGCACCTTCACTTGCTCTAGCATTTCACATTCGCTATGAAAGCGTAGCTAGGCAGTGAGAGCTTACCGTAAAGGACCAGACGAGAGGTGGGGGGCAAGACAAAAGGGGTGCAGCGCTGCCCTCTCCCCCCCCTCTCTAGAGACGGGGGAGGGAAAGGAACAGGAAGAAGAAAATAAAAGAAGAGAGGAGGGAAGGGAGAGGGAATAAAAAAGAAACGCAGAGGAAACAAACTTATGCGTTCCTTTCCCATCTCCTGGGAGAAATCTTGGCTGCACCCAGGGCTTACCAATGATGTTGGTAAACCATTTGGTTTCCAGTAAAACGTTCCTCCGCGACCGGGAATCGAACCCGCGACGTACCAATTATTGGTTTAGGCTCTACCTCTGAGCCACCGCGGGCGCCGTTCCTTGGTTTAGTCAGTGCTGCTGTTTTCAACATTATCCCGGTGTTTTTCGTGGATTTTACTGTACCAACAGCATACACTAAAGTAGTGTTGGTTCGGATGATCTCGAGCATGTACGAGGGTTCCGTGGACCCCGGGCCTTATCTTGTTCTCTGGGGACTCCTCCAGCACCAGTATAGTTCCCAGACCTCTCGATCTTTCCGCTACCCTTGGGGTCCCAAGGCCTGATACTGTCTCGGGGGCTCCCAAGGATGGCGGATACGATCGAGAGACTCCGGAATCATACGTTTAAACGGTGAATGCTGACTGAATTATTCCACAGTTTATAATATAAGGTTCGTTGAACGAAGAACACATGGGACATTTAATACACTTCGAATTGCTGAGGGTCGCTTTTCCGGAATCAGCACCCGTTTTCGACAATAGAGAGGTGACACTCCACGATCCACCACAAAGCAATGAACAATCAGCATTTCAAGTTCAAAGTACAGATCGTTGTTGCTTATTTTAGTCAGCTCACGTGCACATAAGCTCAATTAACGATTGACTTTTCGATGATTTTCGATATTGACGTTAAAATTAAAGCCGTCAGTCAACATTCATGTGCACATGTACTGTCTTTCCACTCGCCTTCCCCTTCCTTTTCCGTTACACTCTCTTCCACTCTCGTTTATGTCTCGCCGTCAAATCCTCTTGTTTCACATCATACTGACTTTCTGACGAGACTAACGTCCTATTCTCAACAGATAAATGACACGAACACTTTTCGCAAGCTCAGTCAAGAGTACAAAGAATGAGTTTTGCAGTCTAGCCGATGTGTCAAAATTATGGGGATCAGGTACCTCACTTTCACCTGGCCCCCATAATTTTGACACATCGGTTAGACTGCAAAACCCATTCTTTCTAATTTTGACTGAGGTTGCAAAAATTGATGGTGAATTTGCCGCATCCGAATTGTGGATAAGGAATTGGGGGTGTACACTCCTTTCACCGACAGATCAACAGAGAAGTTTGTTGGATGAAGCCTTCCAACGAACAGCTTGTGCATGCCGTCTCGTTCCAGATGAAATTACTGTTATCTCCATGTGATCGAGCATAACACAAGAGATTTTCGACTTTTAATCAGCCCAGCCGAGCCGTTCCTTCGAACATCAACCTTCCGAGGGGCTGTATCGAAAAAAATGCCCCTCGAAATGACGTCATCGTTTGCTTGCCACCTATCAGAAGGGCATATTCGCCACTATGAGAGACGATCGAGCACGCGACGACGGTGCGTGCGGTTTCGAGCGCGTTTTTGTTAGCATAACGGCGAGCGATAGTGAGGGCATTGAACTGTGATTGGTCGATCGATTTTGGAGGGTGTTTAGAAAGACGGCCGTGCATGAACAGGTTCTGAAATTGAGTGAACTTGAATCAAGGGACTGGGAATCGGTTCTCTGATGCATATCCCGGCTAACATACCGGGCACTTCGAACGAAAAAGGCCAGGTTCCATGAAACCAGGAGCAAAACCCGTTGTGGGGCCGGCTCGGGTGGGATGCTCATTTGCCAATAGTTTTGGTATAGTGGGCGGTGCTAGTGAAATGTCAATAATGGCATATGTATTGTGTAGTATGTCCCAGCAGTGGGTGGGCTAATGGGTATAGAATTGCGATGAACTGGTACAGTTCAAACGGAACACTGTTACGATAGCATTGCGCGCTCGCTAGTGGCTAGTGCCCGCCATTGCGATCAGTCTTCGATTCGCATTCGAATAGTATATGTATGCTGTGGGAGTGTGGGGGTGTTTAGAATATATACGCAATGTGTATTTTCATTCCGTTTTGACTATTTTCACTGTTTTCTTCACTTATTTACTTCCTCAATTGGCATTGAACGCGATACCACTTCCAACGCTTGATTTAAATTGTACTGAATTTGCAAATTGATCTCACAAAACAATCTTACAATCGGAATAAAAGAATGATTTAATGGCAGCTTTGAAAATGGCATATCCAATTCTGTTCACTCTATGATACTAACAAAAAATGTCGGTCATTCAGTGGTCATTCAGCAAAGGAGCTGATCAATCAATGTTTTATCAATCGGTCATTGTACATCCACGATTGATCCAAATATTTCGCAATAACGGCTGAAAAACAAATCGCGCTTTATATGAGAGATGTGTCTGATTACTGATATCGCTAACATATCAATCGTTTCAGTCTTTCAACTTTAAAATTGCCCGCTTTTTTGTCAAGACGATGCACTATGGCTTCAACGGTAAGTGCTGCTCAAAATTCGCTTTAAAACCTTTCTTTAATTAAAAAGGCATTGATCTTGAAGGGTCAATTAAGCTGATCAGTTGATAGTGATTTAATCTCATGCAAAGCATTCACTCGTTTTCCCATTCAAAAGTGTATTCAATTTTAGATCCTAATTATTGTTAGCTTGTTTAGTTATTACTTTTTATTGACATTTTGCTTCAGCTGATGCGAAAACGTTCTGTGAAATCGTTTATAGTTTGCCTGATTTTGAGTGAATTCATAATTTTATGAAGTTTCTGTAGAGCTAACTGCCTCTTACACTCACGGAAAAGGATAGCTTTATTGCAGTGAAGATAAATGTTTGTATATCAATTAGTTCAGTTTGGAAATAAATTATTCGGAGCCGTAGATTGAATGCAAAGTTTTCAAATTTCAGTCAAAAAATGACGAGTCAAACAACAATTCTGATGTATCGTTATCGGGTCGTCGTCGTCGACGAGTGGTGAGACATTGTTTCATTGAGCGTTTTACGAAACAACACTTGAACAGAATTACGAACATTTTCCCTGCTGAATTTGAGCAGCTTTGAAGGAGTTGATATTCAATAATTTGAATCTAAAGCACAACCATTATCCTGAATGCATGAGCGAAAAAATTTCACCGTTCACTAATGTTATTCCATTATAGGGAAACCAATTGAATATTGCTTTCTCTTGAAATTGTTCTCACAACCGACTTATCAAATGTCAAATAAACACGAATGAAATGAATGATTTCAGGTGAATTACAATGTTGATTACATAAGTAATGCAGCGTATGAGAAGGCAACTGAAGAACTGAATAATCAGATGGGTAATGGACGGAAACGAAAGAAGAATCAGTCTGCGTCGTCACCTAAATCTCTCACTCAGCAACCTCGAAAGAAACAATGTAACAGCAATGACAGCAACTCATCATCGTTGGCACTCAAACCGAAATACCCTTGGGTTTGTCATTTGTCCTTTCTAGACGTTTCAAATGAGACTCTTAATTTTCGTCCATATATTGCTGAAAGGAAGATCATTCTCACACTGTTTGCTTTTATTGGTTTTGTAGTGAACGTTTGCAGATTTGCAATTGTATGGCTTAAATTTGTGATGTATCGTTGAAAAATTGCTTGCAGGACTCTTGGAATTTTGACAGTTTGTTTGGTTATGCACGTGTCGCTGCGAATGCATCACGGAAATCGAACGCACGAAATTACAACTTTGATGAGAAATTGCCTGTGGCTTGTGGAGGATTTAGACTGTTGGTTCGTATATGTCCCGACGCATTCATCAAATCGTTTCGGTTGGTTGTTGCAATTCATCAACCCATCATCCCCTTTATTGGTTACCCACAATTTCGTCATGAATTCATCCTTTCGACGAAATGATATAGCTTGTAGTTGATCGCGATTTGTGTTTGATCACTGAACTCAATCGTTTTATTCCCGTCATATTCCAGCTCACGAATTAATGAAGATGAAGTGGTTCGCGGTGAGACAGATGATGAAACCACATTTGACGTACAACTTCTGAGACATGCCGTTAGTTTTCGTGTCGCGTTGCACTGATTGATGTATCTTTGCGTCTCTGACAAAAAATTCTCGAGTTTTCATCTTGAATTTTGTCTCATTCGCCGAATGTATAATTTCAAATGAGGTGTTTCTGAGTTAGTTCACTCATTGAGAATAAAAGCATTGTTCAGAAATTATTTAATGCATTCAGATTTCTGGTTTGTTATATAGGATTTGGTGAATTGTGATTGATATGGAATGAATTTTATTAATTTTCTGCAAATGTTGTTCATCAAAACACATAATTGTTTTTATTCAACTAATGCGAATGTTCTCAATTGATGTCGGATTGCGAATTATTGAAATGAAGTTCTTAATCGCATTTTAGTGGAACAGACTGAGTGAGAGTGAACGGTTGAGATGGGAGATGGAGGCACGCAAGGAGGTGAAGGAAGCCGAAAAGGTGGCGGGGTGCGAGAGAGGGCTGTGTCCAGAGGTGAGCCTTCTGAGAGCAGTTGTATTTCTTGTCGTTGTTTTTAGTTACGTATCGAGAATTTTATGGGCTAATTTCAATGCACTTCTTTCGTTGTTGACACGCATTTGCATCCCATTGAGAATGCAGAAGTTTGACTTGAAAAGCACATACACTAGTGTTGTTGAGATGCGAATACGGTTGTGTTTACGTATTATAAATATTCCATGTTTACGTATTATTATAAATAAAAGATGAATAATTTATGTATTATAAAAGAAGATAGTATTGTAAATATTTCATTTGTCGTGATAGACTCTGATAAGATTTGATTGATACAGAAACCGGATCAGAATGATGCGAGCATTCGTCATAGAACCGACGACGTGAACGAAGTTGAAGGTGCAGTTCGTGATATTACTGGAGAAGTTAAACAAGGCAGTGAACAATGTAACATGGATGTGATGGATAGTGTGAGCAAAGATGGTAAATATTTGCAGCACTCATTATGCTAAAGCAAATCATACCGTCTTATCACCCAGTAGTATATTTTCATTTCATTGAAAGAGATTCTCGTCTGCGCAGAAATTGCGAAGTTTTTGTAAAAAGCAAAATTTGAGTTGCAGTGATTTAAGGGTGGTCGAAGTTCAGAAAGTTAGTGCGTTATAGATTGAAATCAATTAAAATTCGTTGCATTTCAGATGAACCAGTAGCAGATGGAAGTCATGCAGTGAAAACATCAATGCCATCATGCGAAATACGCTTCCATTCGTCTCGTGCAATCAGTGATTCGGAAGCGTATAACAAGCTGAATTTCGGTGTATTCAGATGTCATTTATGTCCTCAAAAAGTCACTTTGGCTGGAGCAGACGCCTTTCAGGTGAACATTTTCAGATATTTCATTTTGATTCGTGTTCACAGTGAGTGGTATTTTCCATTCAGTCTATTAAATGGTAGCCGTTTAAGCACGATAGTTATTGAGGAATTGATTGATTGATTAATCTAACTTCATTGTTTGTGAGTTAATGCATTGGGTGAGAAGTATGGCTACGAATCAGAATTGCATTTTAAAATTTATCTGAACTGTGCAATGAAACAAACAGTGGATTAGTTTCATTTGGTTTGATAACTACGGAAATAATATTTTTGAATTCTTTTGAAATGTATGGAAGTGTGCTAACAGGTTACTTATTGCAGTTACATCTGATCCAAAATCATCACAGTGCACGTTTCTACGCATGTCATTTGTGTTTCGAGGCATTCTCATCGTTGGAATTCTTGAAGAAACATCCATGCCAAGAGTTTGCTTCATACACAGTTGGCTTATTAACGGCAAATAAACAGGTACTAATGAAGTAATCATTTTGTAACAGAGCATATATGTTCGTATTTTAAAATAATTGCCGAAGTTAGTTTTGAAATGAATACAAAATCAACGGAATAGTTGTTCAGTGTTAACCAGTGTAACGTTGTAGTTTGCGATGAAGTTTGTGATGCATACACTGGTTTGTGCTGAATGTAATTTACAAATGCCGTTGCCAGCCAATCGTCAAGTTTCATCAACAAAGAGATTAGCCTCGTTAATGGTACGTTGAATGGTAGTGATTACCTCAGCTGTAATACTTATCAATTCGTTTGTTCCATTGATGGTTGTGAACGTTTTTATGATGAATTTCGTTCGCAGTATTGTGAGTTTTTATTTGAGTAGTGCGTCGTTCCTACTGAAGAGGAGAAGAGTGAGCGTTGTTGGATGGATTCATTGCTGGTGTACTTTTTGAAAAAAAAAGATTGATGTATTCAAATTGTTTGATTCATTCAGAAAGTTCACAATTGTGATAATCTCGTCTCTTGTTTGGTCTACTTTGCGGAACAACCGAATGGCGTTGTGCATGTGACGATCCGTGGTTTGCCTCTGAAACGCTCCATACCCATTTCGTGTTCAGTTTGTAATCAGCAATTCACAACTGTCTCTGATATTGAACAGCATGGAGCTGATCATGGATTACCGAAACTCAAGTGTCATTTATGCCCTAGATTCTTCTTCTCAGATTTATTGTACAGGTTAGTGTAGTGTCGAATATTTTCCAGTTTTAGTTTGTTCAATTTATTATGTTCGTTCACTAAGTTTCTTATTGAATATATCACTTTTTCATTGAATATATCCAACAGAACTATTTTTGATGTTTGATTTTTTTGACTTTTGATACATCTGAACGTCGACAAGTGTTGCACTCTTCAGCAAATGAATCTGATGGTGTTGCGCGTTGATGCAAGAATGAAAGTTTTTTAAAAGTTATCAGTTGCAGAGAACACTTATTAACACATCTCGGCGATAATCAGTACTCGATGATACCAGTGATCGGCAGTTCTACTTTGACACCTCCTTCGTGGATGCACAATGACGTCGCAAGAATGGGATGTGAAATGGACCGTGTCCTTGGACCGTACTGTGAATTGTCTGTGCCAAATCGTGTCAATGAGGAGGTAGCTTACTTTTGCATATATATNATATATATCTGTTCGGTTTTTCTGATTTTAATCGTTTTTGATTTTGATTTTCTGATTTTTGTTGCGTTGCTTCCAGTCAGCAATCAATCAGTTTAGGTGTCGAGTGATGAAGATGTGATCAATACTCGCGATACGGTCAAGAAGAAACGCCTCGAGAAGAAAGCGTTGGACGGCGATAAAAACAAGAGGAAAAAAATGAACGCGAATTTCGCTAAAAAGAAGAAATCCGGTGAGGGTGACCGATGCATTCACTGTCGACAGTTGGAAAGGGTTAGTGAATTTTGTCGTCATTTGAATGTGTTCACATTCGCATTCTACATTTGCTGTTGTGTTGTTTCGACGACAGGCCTGAATTATTTGTAATGTTGAATTTTGGAAATGTAAAATATATTGGCTGACTTCCATTCGAAAAAGATTCATGTTCCGAATCATTAACCGTGAATATTAAAAGAACATCAACAAGCTCATGAATATTAACAGTCGTGGGATTATCAATATGGATAATTGTTGTGTATTTGTTGAATTGGTTTGTTGTTATATTCGCGTCAGATGATTCGGAGAAGTACATGAGCCGGATTGTTAGTTTTGTGCATTGGAAAGCACAAAGAAATTGGAAAGTTACCTTGGTTCCTTGTTTGGTGAGCTACTGCACTGAGGGTGATGTTAATCCTAGATCGATGATACTGGTGTTGATAGTAGTATAGCAGCGGGCAATATTGACAGAGCACAACGTAACGCCATTATCAGGGTAAGGTGGTGCAACACCGATTGGAAAAACAGCTGGCTGAACCTGGCTTGTAGCAAAGCAAAACGTAGGGCTGTTTAAGTTGGTTTTGTGTGTTTCAGTTCAAGTCGGGCTGCAAACCCACCGATCTGTGCACGTGTGTTTCGTGGTTGGATCGCTCATCACAGCTCGCGCTTCAGATGCCGCAAGTTTCGTTCGGCGACAATAATTCTTTCATTAATTCGTTAACACAAAAATTCACACCGATTGGTCATTTGTATGTGGGCAGTTGTTTTGCACCAATTCACGACACCATCAAAGGAGCGATCATCACTGACTGGTTCGTTTCTTTTGGGCGAGTGCTTTGCAAATTGAACATCCTTTTTCTTTCACTTCTGTGTTGAGCCGTTGTCAACATATTGTTCTGTTTTATCAAGTTTAAAGAAATGTAAATAACGATCTTTCAAGGGATCGATGGATATGTCGTTGAATTTTTTGTTTTGTTTGTATATATTCATTCGTTTCACTGTTCTTTTGTGTTTCAAATTAGAAAAAGTGGTTCGATGTGAATATTATGCATAGTGTTTGGTTTTTTTTAAAGTGCCGATAATCACATTCGATCCACTCGTCCATTGTTCAAAATTTCTTCCATAAACTTTTGTTATGGATTTATCCATTTCTCATAAAAAGCCAATGTGGGACTTGAATGAGTCAGTCAGATGAGTGAAAACGAACGCTCCTAAAAGATAAGTCGAACGTTGTGCTAATCATACCAATGAATTTTATGATTGACTGCAAGCATTTATCCATTATCCATTTTAGCGTATATATGTGCATGACATGTCATATGCTGCGTTTGGGTAAGAAGAGCGCACTGATGCATATCAGAGTGTGTCTGCAGAAGAATTTAGTGCATCGAGATCCGCAGAAAACGATCGATTTTAATGATGAGAATATTGTTAGTGATTCTGTTTTGTTTCGTTATAATACGTTCATAATAATCTAGATATTACGTATTCAAATAACATCTGTGCTGTGAGAGCGAGACTCACTTTCCTAGAATTTTGGTTCAGTTTTGATTAATTTGTTTGTTGAATGAAGGTTGGTTGCATTGAATGAAGTTTAGAATGAAGACATTCATGGTTGAAAATAATTAGGTTGATTGTTTTTGATGTCTTATTGATGATAATCGCTGAGGAAGAGGGATTTGTTTTGCCATCGACATGAAGTGACATTGATCTATTAATTTGCTTAAGGTGATGCGCTTGACATATGCTCAATCAACGCCCAACACAAGAGTTTCGTGTCCAAAATGTGCGAATACATGCTGCTCGATAGTGTCACTGCGAAGACATCTTGCATTAGATCACGGCATCTTTGCACCGTTCAGTCCTCCAGGTTTTGTGTTTCAATATTTTAATTTGATTTCGTGGCTATTAGTGATTTTGTTAGTACCTTTAGAATCGTACAGTTGAATTCATTGAAATGAGTAGGTAGTTAATATAATCGTTAACAACGATAAGTGCTGATCAGTTGATTCAATATCACTTCTTTAATTTCTACTCTGGTGAACTGAGAGTTGATCTGATCATATGAAGTTTTTTGAAAAAATGGTGACTTCAAAATATTTAGAGAAAGATTCAGTTGTCCAAATTTATTGTCATTCTCTGGCGTTCTTTTACTTTTTGTTCATGTCAGTCGAAAAATTTTTGATCATAATTGTGAATGGAGCAGTGACTTGTGTTCAGACGATATTGTTGAACGATCGCATGAGATTATTGTTTTTAATCTTGATGTGTTTAGAAGCAAATAAAGATATTGGTATTATTGAGTGGACGGGGGCGGTTAGGAAAGTGGCAACGTTGACAGAAGTGACGAATGTCAAATTGAATCTAACAAGAGATGGTGACTTCAAAATGCCTTCACCGCAGCGATATCGTACACTTTATAGCAGTGCGTTTGATACTCTTTCATTCATCTCATCTTGATTCAGAGAAATATTCACTTGTCCAAATTTATTATTATTATTCTCTTGCCGTCTTTTAATTTTTGTTCATTCATGTCAGTTCAAAAAATATTTTGATCATAACTTTAAAGGGAATGTACTTTTCTTTGTTGAATGTTTACATAAACTTTTTNTTTTTCTGGAAATGGAACCTGCAGAAGGGTAATGGTGGAAAACTTTATTGTTTTCAGGTGGTCCGATAATCCAGCAATCGAGTTCGTCGTCAGTTTGTGCCGGCTCATCTTCACGCATTGTTGAGGTTAAACTTTATTTGTTTCCCTCTTCAACTGATCTTATTACCATAACTAACGCGCCTTATATATAACGCATACACGGTCATAGTCATTGCGCGATTTTTAAAAGAAATGATTGAAGAGGAAATGTAATGGAGCGTATTTAGGTGGATGAACGTACTGGTGAGATAAGAAACGGTATTAATGTGGTGACCAACATTCAACCACAAGATCAAACAACAGTCAGATGTGAAATCTGCGGTGTACGTATTGAATTCTTTTTGATATGTTTTTAACTCGTCCATTGATTAACAACGATATTTTATCGTTTGTTTGTTTGTTTTTTTCATTACAAATTTGAGAATTGTAGAATTCGTGGAAGCATTTAGAACGGTTTGTTGTTGTAATATATTAGTTGCGTGAGCATTTGTTTTTTGAAAAAGTTCATCGTTTTGTTAATATTGGTTATGGGAATTGTGGAGGGGTGACTTTAGGAAAACGATTAAATTGATAATGAGAAACTTGTATTGAATGACGTTGTGAGAATAATGAATATTTATGTTAGGAGATCAGAATGGGAGTATTCGATTCAGTTGATATGTAATCTGATTTAATTTAATTTAAGGTCAATCAACCATCAATACTCGAGTTTGCGAATCATTTAGTGGCAAATCATTTGTTCTATTGTGAGATGTGTGGAGAGGCGTTCAGTGAGAAGACACCATTGAATCTGCATAAAGCAACTTGTCCTCCGTGGGCACATAAAAGTAATTTGTTCTTTAACAAAAAAAACTTCAGTCATCTATCACTGACGCAATACGCATTGTTATATTAAGAAAGAGTCAGGTTTTATGAATCAGCTGTCATTTCTTCATACTGCGATTTGTGCGAATGATAAATATATTTCTTGATGTTGACACGATTGTGTTTTCAGCGAATGATGGTGAACATTTACCGTTTTGTCCGTTTTGCCATTTCATCTTCTCCACTCCCGGACGATACTATAAGCACATTGCACATATGCATTTGGAGCATGTGAAACTGGATCGCGAAACGCACAAGGTGCATTCAATTCGTCTGTTTGTCAAAATTCATGAATTTCATAAGCCATTAGAAGAAAGCATTACTTCATAACTGCTTCGTATGATGTAAAAGTTGTATTTGTATGAAGAATGACTTATGAAATGTGGAAACCAGAGCAAGGTAATTAACAAATGCAGCATTCTTCGCAGTGTACGAAAGACGGGTAGTGTTGTCGTTAAAAGCTGTATTAGTTGTAGAATATAGCGTGATGTGATAACGATTGA